CCCCCCCCTCCACCGTGCACCCCCACCGTGCGGTGCCACCCGTCCGTGGCACCCAGCCCGCGGCAGGGCCGTGTCGGCGGCACCCGCCCGTGCCCGGCGCCCCGCTCAGCCCCGGGACCCCCCGGTCGTGCCCGGGACCCCGGCTGTGCCCGGGACGCCCGGGTCGTTGCCAGCCCCTGGCCGTTCCCGGGACACCCTGGTGATGCCCGGGACACCCTGGTGATGCCCGGGACACCCTGGTGATGCCCAGCCGTGCCGGTGCCGCTGGCCGTGCCCGTCCCCGCAGCGCTGTGCTGGCGGTGCCAGCGCACGGGGCTCTGGCAGGGCCCGGCCCCCCTTCCCACTGCTTCCCACGCCCGGGGCTGCTTTCCGCGTGTCCATCCGTCCGGCCGTGCCCCCCGCTGGCCTCCCTCCCCCAGTCCTGTCCGGAAATCCGTCCCCTCCCGCTGCCAGGGCTCCCCCGGGACCCTCCCGTTTCCTGCTTCCCTTTGGGCAGGACAATTCCCGGCCGCCCGCTCGCCCCGGGCTGCTCCCGCCGGCCGCATCCTGCCCCGGCCGGGGACACCCCTTGGTGCTCCCCAAAGAAGCGGGGCCGGGGCCCAGGCGTCCGGGCGGAGCCGGCCGGGAATCTCCCAGGGAAGAGGATGCGGGATGAGGTGGGGCCGTCCCCGGGGGCCGCTTGGGAAGCGGGTGGGAAGAGGAAGGAGCCGCTTCCTCCTCCTCTTCCTCCGGCCGGGGCGGGGGGGCCGGGCGGGCGGGTGCCCCCGTGGCCGCCAGCGGCCCCCTCGTGACGCGGGCGCCTCAATGGCCGCGTTGTCCCCGCGCGGCCCCGCGTGACGCCCCCGCTGCGCGTGTGCCCACAGGCCGCCCCCCGCGGCGCCATGGCCCCCCGCGCGCTGCCGGCCCTCGCCGCGCTGCTGCTGGCCCTCGTCCCCGCGGGCACCGCGGGCAGCGCCGCCGCGCCGGGCGCCTCGTGGAGCGCCGTGCCCCGGCAGACCGTCCCCTACGCGGGTGAGTAGCGCGCGGGCACCCGCGGGCCACGCTCGCGCCCTGCGCCCCGGCCCGTGTCCCCTGTCCCCATGGCTTGTGCTCATCCTTTGCCAGGGTGCCGGTCCCATGGCCCCGTGTCCCTGCCACGCTCTGACCCGTGCCCGCCGTTCCCGTGGCCCCAGGTCCTGCCCCACGTCTCCCATGTCCCCCACGTCCCCAGGCTCTGCCCTGCGTCCCCTGTGTCCCCTGCCAGGCCCTGCCCCATGTCCCCCGTGTCCCCAGTCCCTGCCCCACGTCCCCCTCATGCTGGCCCGTGCGGCTCCGTCCCTGCCCGCGGGGCTGTCGCCTCCTCCCGTCAATGGCTCCTTTCTGCGCGGGCTCCGGGGCCGGGGGCGGGCGGCCGCGGGGGGCTCGGGGACAAAGGGCCCTTTGTGCGTGTTGTCCCGCGGGGCCGGGCCCCCGGCGCGGCCGTTAACCCGTCGCGGGCCGGCGCCCTGACGGCGCGCGTGTCCCCGCAGAGCTGCGCGACGCGGCCAAGCGCTTCTCGCGCGGGGGCGTCTCGCACTACGTGACACTGACACTCGATGAGGCCGAGGCCCTGCTCTACGTGGGCGCCCGCGAGGCCCTCTTCGCCCTGGCCACCGGCACCGTGGAGCTCAAGGGGACGGTGAGCGCCGGGGGGACGGGAACGGGGCCGGCGCCACGGGGCCGGCGTCACCGCTGGCTGCTCTCCCCCCGTGCAGATCTCCTGGGAGGCGCCGCTGGACAAGAAAGCCGAGTGCATCCAAAAGGGGAAGAACAACCAGGTAAGGGCCGCGCTGGGGACGGGGACGGGGCACGGCCACGCCGCTGACGCCGCCTTCCGCCCCTAGACCGACTGCTTCAACTACGTGCGCTTCCTGCAGAGCTACAACAGCTCCCACCTGTACGCGTGCGGCACCTACGCCTTCCAGCCCAAGTGCGCCTATATCGTGAGTGTGGGGACGGGGCTGTGGCCGCTGCCACCGAGGCCACCGCGCGGCCTGGCCCCCCCTGCTCCCCAGCCTGGGAACGAGGGCTCCCACCTCCACGCTGGCCCTTCGGCCCTGGGGAGTCTTGATGGGTGTCCCTGTGCCCAGGCTATCCCTTTCCTCAGGACCATCCTCCACAGGTGTCCCTGACGCCACAAGTGTCCCCTGGGAGCATCGTCCACAGGTGTCCCCTGTGCTCCCAGGAGCATCATCCCCAGGGACGTCATCTGGGACTATCCCCGTCCTTTGGGGCATGCTTCAGGGCTGTCCCTGTCCCCAGGAGTGTTGTCCCCAGGTGTCCCCACCCCGGCGGTGTCTCAGGGGTGTCCCCGGGCCCACTTTGGGCCAGGAGCAGGTTCTGAAGCCCATCCCTCGTGCCCTGCAGGAGCTTTCCGGCTTCACCCTGGACCGAGTGGCTTTCGAGGATGGCAAAGGGAAGTGTCCCTACGACCCCACCAAGGGCCACACGGGCCTCATCGTGGGTAGGTGCCCGTGTGGGGCCGGGGGGGTGCCGGGGCCGGGGGCCCGTGGCTGAGCGCCCGCTGCCCGCAGACGGCGAGCTCTACTCGGCCACCTTCAACAACTTCCTGGGCACGGAGCCCGTCATCCTGCGCAACCTGGGCCCTCACTACTCCATGAAGACCGAGTACCTGACATCGTGGCTCAACGGTGGGCACCGGGAGGGCGGGCGCGTGGGCACCGGGTGGGCGCGGGGCTACCCGGGCGCCTGTGTCCCCACAGAGCCGCACTTCGTGGCCTCGGCCTACGTGCAGGAGAGCGCGGCCAGCAGCACGGGCGACGACGACAAGGTCTACTTCTTCTTCAGCGAGCGCGCCGTCGAGTACGACTGCTACGCGGAGCAGGTGGTGGCCCGCGTGGCGCGCGTGTGCAAGGTAAGCGACGCGGAGGGCGCGCGCGGGGCGGCCGCGGCGCCCGGCCT